AAAAAAAAATCCTATAAACGTTTCATCATAATCAACAGAACCTTGCAGGTGTGTAAATGATGGGATGAGGAGATGAACGCGAGCAAGCTACTCCCTTTCAACCTGTTCGTGTCTGGAATGCCTTCGAACCCAGAAACGTGTTTAAAAAGCAACAACTTTCCATTAAAAGTCTGTGTCCCTGGTGAATGTCTCCCCCTTGTGGATCACAAGAGAATAATCGATTCTCAAAATACAGTCATACTTGGGTTTTCGACCATAATTCGTTGCAGAAGGCTGTTCGAAAAGCGATTTGTTCGAAATCCGAAACCATTTTATTAGCTCATGATTAGGGGCTAATACACGACGCAGAAATAACAAAAAAAAAACCTGTCCGATTTGCATAAATCACAATAAACACGTCTGCTCACAATAAACGAGGAAGCGTGGAGGAGTCAAGCGGCGTATTCTGGTTTGCTCCGTTTGGTCGAAAACCGGTTTTCGGTCGTAATCCGAGGCGCAAAAATCTCAAATTTTCTGGTCAAAAAAAAACGATTTGGTCAATAACAGAGACGTTCGAAAACCGAGGTTTGACTGTCGTCGATTTTTTTTGCGTTTTTATTTACTCCACATTTGAACAGCACTGCAACGTTGCAAACTCACGATGCCGTTCGGCGGATATGGAACGATTCAGAACGCATAACACGTCATCGAGCTACAACTTGGACGAAGTAACGAGGTGAACTGAAACCGGAAGCAAAATGGCTCCAAGTCCTGTCGCGTCCATGAAGAAGGTCGCGAGTGCTTTCAAGCATCAAGAACTTCCCAACCCCCAACACTGCAGCATGCCAGGCCTGACGCTCTCCCTCCCTCCCTCCCTCCCTCCCGCCCTCGCTCGCCTTCACTCCCTTTTAATTCCCATCCATCCATCTACTTTACTGTGTCCCCGTCTCGGCGGAGGTGAAGCCGGCGCTCCGCAACCTTCGGGAGCCGTGAAAAAGGTTGACGAGGACAGAACGGGAGTGTGCGCAGACTCCCAAATGAGGCCCAATGCGGCATCAAGACTTGGACCGGGAGCGCTCCCGTGGAAATAAAGACACGCGGCGTGTCCGCACGAGGGCAAATTGGTCACGGGTTGATTCCGACTGGGTCGCCCTCCGCATGTTTTGAGTCATGTTGTGCATCGTTGTTTAAATGAGAGAGAAAGTCTGCCTATTCAAAGCCCCGTTTAATAGTAAAGTTGGTGTCAAACGAAATGAAAACTGTGAATATGGGCAATTCCAAACATTTCTGGCGGGGGGGCTTGTCTCGTTTCATGATGCACGGCGCGACTCTCTTTACGGTTCCGTTTGTTAGGACGCCAAACGTCAGCACTTGTGGATTAAATGCTTTGGGTTGTTTGTTTTTTCCACAACACTTGATCCGCGCTTGGGGGTGTAGATTGCACCCTGAGGGACCTTTGAGCATCGCGTCAATAGCAACGTTCACGCCGACGTGTGACGAGCAGCATTTTACGCCGTTGCTCTTTTGTGTCATCGATTGGAACAGATTGCGTTGGTATCGCAACAAAACTGTTGCCGTCGTATATTATGCATGCATCTGCGTCTAATTATCCGATTATGGAATGCTGCGTCATCGTTGTATCCCGCGTCACCGGGTCCTATATAAAATTGGCATCGTGAGCTAATTCAGCATTTTTTTTTTTAATTATTTTTTGGGCTAGTCAGTTCACAACTTTAGCAAAGCTGTGGGGGGATAAAGTGTTTTGTCACTTACAAAAAAATAAAAATATGCAAGTTGATAAAGGGTAAAAAACGGTTTTGTGCACGCAAGTTTTCCTTGTGTCGAATTACAAAAATGAGAATTAATTTTACTTTATTTATTTATTTATTTGTTTTTTTTTAAGTCCATTTCAGAGTGCACAGTTAAATCGGCACGCCTGCTTTCACCGGACTCTTTTTAGCTTTTCTCATAATTCTACTTACAGACATGTTAAAAAAAACTTCCACCTTACCGGCAGATACATTTTGGATTTACCGTTCCCGTCCGCGGTTTCTGTCGAACCAGAGCCGACAGCACTCAACAAGGTGGCACACAGTGAGCGCACCCCCTCGCATAACCGTTGCGGCTTCACACGTTCAGATAATTAGACGCCTGGCAACTTTAACGCCAGTGTCGGAAACGGCGACGACTGCGAGCGGGAAGCGAGCCTCTGCTCCTAAAAGTTCAAATCTTGGTCGTGGCATCCAGCTACTTGCCTCCAACGATATGGGTTCCGCGTCGTCCGTTAGCCATTTCTTTTTAATCGCAATGCTGTAAGATGAGTTCGGAAAAATGTTAAAACCGTTTCGGGGTCGTGGATTGTCTCGTTCAATTTATGCTATTATTATAGGAAATTATATCCACTTTGGAGACCTTACACACGGCAAAGAGAGCTCATCACTGAAACGCCGCACGGCAGAGGTCAGAAGCAATGAATAACAATCCACATTAAAAAGAAAAAAAAATGGAGCAAGGGGGGTGGGGCAAAACGAGAGAGTTGAAAGCTAGCACTGAATTCTGCTGACACATCAACATGTGGAGACAAAAACAGAAGCACCGACCCGGAGACGTGCCATAGCCAACCACCACGCATGCAGCATGCCGGCCAAGTCCTCAGACACACTTGCGGCAGAGGTCCGGATCACACGCTCGCTCGGCTGTCAAGTCAAAAAGCGAGGCGAGAAAAGGTCAAGGGGCAGCCGCGCCGCGGGTTAAAAGAACCCGCGTATCTTTCTTTCCTTCCACTTGAACCCTTCCACTTGGGGGGGATATACAGCAGTACTTCGACTATTTCGACCCTATTTATGATTTTTTTTTTTTTCACGATCATTCTGCCATTTTTTTTTGGGGGGGGGTGTTGGGTTGCGAAAAAATCTTTTCAGAGATGAATGCAAGATAACAAACAGTGGAAAATAATTTCAGCGATTGGCAAACAAGTACCGTTGACGCAGTACCCATAAAGCTTTCGACTTGTATACAAACACGCATACAACACCACCACTCGGGAGGCATATATTCTTTATCCTCTGCAAAAAGTACAGCTATAACGGCAGTTTCTTTTTGATTTCAACATTGGTTACCACGCGACCCGTAGGTTTGGTAACTAAGCAAGCTAATAGATGAAAGTTAAGTCATTAATCGATGATGTCACTGATATTTTTCAGCACAGTACGGTGGTCCCCAAATCTTTTGAACGCGACAGACTGGTTTCATGTATTTGTAATTTCTGAATTTTGGCGCACAGGGAAAATAAATAAAGTAAAACAAACTACTCGTCCTTAGCCAGGTCTAATCCTGAATAATAGAAATCTGTTCTGTTTTTTTTTGTGTTTTTGTACAGTATCAAAAAGTCACTTTTTTTAAATTCTTTTTTTTGATTGAAAATGAAACCAACAAATGATACACGGACTGCTGTGATTTTTTTTTCCAAAGCAGGGCCGTTTTGGACGGACAATGCTTCAAGCTCACGGGTCAACAACACGTCTCCACGTCCAGCTGCAAAGACGGATCAGCCCATGAGTCACACACACTGCATACTCCCAAAACAATAGACGGGAGGTCTGGCTCAGCCCGACTAGGCCCAGCCTGGCTGCACAAACACACTGTGTGTGTGTGTGTGTGTGTGTGTGTGTGTGTGTGTGTGTGTGTATACGTGTCTTTGATCCCAAAATCTCCACAAGTCAGTGAGGCTTGCACGGAAACCAAATAAATGCAAGTATTTTTAGGATCCTAATCAAAGTTAATAGTACACAGCAGACGTTTTATCAAAAGAAAGCTGTGTGGGGATGTAAACAGACGCCTGGTTGTTATCTGAAGCCTTCCACAAAGATGCAGTAGTGAGAGGAGGAGTAGTGAAAACTGTTTTGAGCGTCGATTCCATATCCTTGACATCTAGCTGAAAGTCTATGTACTAGTAAGTACGCTCTTCATCCTCACTTGCAAGACAATTCAGTGCACGAACAGAACGACCGTCTTACTAGCCACGTTTTCCACAACGAGTGCCATTTTTAGCTTATTAGCACAAGAAGAGCTTCATTTTTATTGGTGAAATTATATGTTACTCGCAGTAGTATGCAGCTGAGGTATGTATCATGTTGTCTTTTATTGGAAAAATATCTATTTGGGGAAAATCCAAACACTTTCATTCATATGCATGACAACAACAAACTCATTGCATCATACCCTCCCGAACCGAGTCGTACCATATCGCATCGGATCCCACTGAATCGAACCCTATCGTTGCACTTTAAAAAAAACGTATCGCAGCCCATGGATCGACAAATGTACCGATTCGTCTTTTTATCGGAAGGATGCACACACCTAAACACCCGCTAGCAGGACAACCGCAGTACCAGTAAGGTAAAACTGTGACTCGGTGAGAACTAATTAATATCTAGCGCATCGCTAGTAACGCGCACGTTGTGTCTTGCTCGTATGTCAAAGTTGTCCTGCGAGCGTGCTGAGACATTAAAAACCTTTACGAGTTTGCTGCATTGACTTATGGGCGAGTGCAAAGAGCGCACTCGTGCATTCTGAATAATCAATGCTTTCAGGAAAATGCTCCAACCGTTTCCATAGTCGGAGCATTGTTTCTTGTTTTCGTTAACAGTGAAGCAAGATAACAAGTGGCGACGCTTTTGTGCCTTAAAGCAGCGGGCAAGGTCCGATTGTCCTCAACAACCCCAAATGGTGTCACCCAAACGTCATTTTTCATATCCCCCCATCATCTTCACGAGAGAGGAAAAACCCCAGCGAACGTTTTGCGTTTGTAACCAACGCGAAATCAATCACATGAAAGCCCAACCGCCCCCCCCCGCTTTTTTTCCTCCTCTTTTATCCCCCTCGACTTTCCCAAGCTTAACTACCTCCCCCAGGCGAACTTCATGGCGAGTCCTTCTCTCATGGTCCGGGGACAGCATCAGAGCACGCCAATAAGTCCTGCCTGACAAAGATGGCACCCTAGTCGCTTCGGTTTCTTATTTGTCCTCTTTCTTCAACACGCAGCACACATGCTGGCGTGGGACCGTCCGAACGGGAAAAGTCCAAATGTTCGCCTACACGCCAGTTCGACTCTTGTATTGAATGAGCCGCCTCCTTCTTCGCCCTCACAACAAGTAGCTCCCAACTCCTCCTCCAGCCGCCATTACCGTAAAATACGTAGAAAAATGACCGAGGGGATTTTTTTTTTTTACCCCCTCGTCAAAGCTTCCCTAAAACGGCGTTTCTCAACCATAATTGAGTCAAGAAACATACTTAAATAGTAAAATTTCACATCAAAGGACCAAACAAAAACGTCATAAAAAAGACACTTCAGAAAGAAAAAAAAGGATATGACGTCACGAAACAACTCACATCAAAGGACCAAACAAAAACGTCATAAAAAAAGACACTTTAGAAAGGGAAAAAAAAGGATATGACGTCACGAAACAACATGTAAAGAAATGCACATTGCATTGGACGTGGAGAGTCTTCGCTTCTCAGTGTTATGAGTCGTTCTTTGCAGTGGATAAAGAATGTATGCCAACAACGTATTACATGTCTGCGTGAGTTACTCCAACAGTTTGTCTTCCATTAGCTTTTACTTAACGCTTAATGCCACAACACTGATGCTATTTGTTAGCCTATGATAAATCTGCAGTATTGCTAAGAGATTCGATGTGTAATTCCCTCGTGTACGTGTTATGTTTAGAACTGTAATTAACTGCATTTTTTTTTTCTTTTTTTACTTTTGCACTGAGGTACTTTGCAAGCTTTCCTTTTACTTTTCATAAAGTATAGGTGTGGAGTATGTTTAGAACTGTAATTAACTGCATTTTTTTTTTTTTTACTTTTGCACTTAGGTACTTTGCAGAGTTTTCTTTTACTTTTCATAAAGTATAGGTGTGGAATCAGTGCAACTGCTTCAACCAGACCATAGCATCTGGGGTGTTCTTTAGCTTAAGCACAGACCTCTTTGGCAACAATGTGTTTTTAATCAATTTATCTACTCGAAAATACAACATTAAGAAGTGAAACAAGATAAATGTTTTGACCCAGATGTATGCAAATCCGACGTTGTCTTGTGAGTGAGGCAGCTGCAGCCTCGGGGCCTCCCGACGTGGGACAATACAAGGAAGGCGGTGCATGGCGTCATTGGTGCTGTGTATTGTCAACGCGCGAAGAGGAGAATGGCCCGAGTGTGTGTGAACGGTCCACACTGCTTCCACTGTCAATGTCCGAAAACACAAAGTCAAACAGGACCCAATGATGAATAAACGGGGAAGATATGAATCAAGCCTCGGTCTTGTACGAGGGGGGGACTCATTATGGACAAAAGTTGTATTGTAGAGCTTTGTGAGAAATCACACAAGTGGTTTCCCAGTCAAGTGATATCATGAAAAAAAAATTACGATAAAGTGATACTCAGCTGGTTTCCCAGTCAAGTGATATCATGAAAAAAAAAATTACGATAGAGTGATACTACTCAGCAGAGGACAAAATTCCACCGAGGCTGATTCACCCTAAAAATATTTTTTTATGAGATGAAAAACAAACAAACATCACTGGAACATGAAAAAGAAGAACAATGGAGATCATAACAAAAAAACACAACTTCCTCAGAGGTGACGGACAAGCCAAGAGCGATGTGACCAAAATTTCCTTGGAAGAGGTAACTCGTAACATCAATGTCAATAAAAATATCTTTTGCTGGCTGACGTAATGATCTTACATGCGATGAAAACTTCCCAAGTGAAGGTTGCTATCAAACAAACCAACAAATGTCAATGAAAATTTTACTTCCTGGGTCGAGGTGCTATTAAACGACGGTTAAAAAAAAACAAAAAAAAAACCACCTGTTTGAGGTAACACCTCCACAGAAGAGCTTGATGAAATCATCACTACATTGATGGAGATTACCGATAATCAAACATAATTGATAACGATGGAGATTAATAATCACGAAATGAAAACACACCTTCCTTAGTGTAGGCAACTACTCTGTGTGTGTGTGTGTGTGTGTGTACTGGAACCCCAGACGTCATCGCAGGCGTCACTGAGCCCGTATCCACAAAAAACTCACGGGGTCCTCACGTAAGAAGGTGAGAGCAAGGGTGTATCTGCACGTCTCCCAAGTTCCCAGGCCGAGCCGACCAATCGGGTCTACGGAGTCCTGGGAAGCCCGCGGGGGGGTCAGTGGGAAGGTTACGACCTCAAAGGACCTCCATGTGGGGAGTGATGTCATTGCGGGGAGAAAACCAGGCGTCGGCCAAATGTGACAGCCTCTGCCGTACGAGCCGACTGGCACCGAGTGTTTTTTTTGTTTGTTTTTTTTTCCACCAAAGCTTGCTTGTGCGATGTTCGGACACCGACAAGTAACGACATTTATTTCCAGGGGCTACTTTGAAACCCCCCAAACGATTTAGTGTTCCCAAGTTCTTAAAAAAATGGGTCCAAGGGTGACGAAAGTTGAGAACCACAGATCTGGCGGCATGATTAGGCAGTTCCAAAATTTGTTGCGGCAGTGTCGATTACTTTTTCGCGGCAGGACTCGGCCCCTCGAGTTTTGACAAGCAGAGAGCGTCCCAGCCACAACTTGCTTGGTAACAGCACCCAATAAAGAGATATTGATGACATTCTCTTGGCGGAGGTCAAAGGGCAATCTGCAAAGTTAATTCCACACCCCCCCCACCCCCCAAAAAACAAACAATGGAAAAAAAAAAAGGGCTGTTTTTTTTAGCCTAATTATATTTTCATATCTGTGTCCTTTTCTGTTACTGCAGCGTTGAATGGAAACTTGCACTTGACTTTCAAAGTTGCATAATGCCTTGGCATGAAACTTTCTAGCAGGACACTAACGATGCAGCAAATAACCCCGAAATGGACGACGTTGTGGTTTTTTTTAAATAGCGTCGGTTCCTGCTATTATTCCACTTCCTAAGAGCGCTCATCTCTGCGTTAACGTGGTGCTACAGTACAGACGCAAGCCACAAGTGGGACAAAAAAAAAACAGTCAGAGCGTCGCTGCTCCAGTTATTGCACCACATGTTGGGGGGAAAGGAAAAAAAAAAAACGTACATTCCAGGAAATCTCCCACTTCCTGCCTCCAGCCTCCTGACTCGACTGTCCTCATACCAGTGGTGGGAATTAACCAGGTACAAATACTTTTGTTTGTGTACTTAAGTAGATTTTTCAAGCATCAGGTATTTGAGTATTTATTTTTCTGACCACGTTGTACTTTTCGCGACCAATGTTTGGAAAAAAAAAAAAAAGATATCTGAACTTTGTGTTTTGAAATGGAAAAAAGGAGCAATTAAAAGTCAGGTAATGCCCTCGTATGTGGGCAAGGAGAGCCTGTGTATGACAAATTAAAATGTTTATTTTTATGCGTGAATGTGACCCCTTTCCATGAAACGACCTTTCCTCACTCCCCGGCTAATTCAAACCAATTCCCATGAAAATGTTGCTGAAATTTGTCAGCTTCTTTTAACTCAGGGAAATTCACTTTCAGAAATGAATGGAAATGCCATTAATCCGTTCCAGACTACCATTAGGAAAAAAACAAAAAACAAAAGCTAGCCTTCTAACTTTAACTCTTTTTGTCACTTCATTTAAATGGACATCGCGCTGCTCCTTGTGGTCGCAGGCACTTTGGCCAACAGGGGGCAGTACGATATCGAGATACTGCACGTGGAGAGAGTCTCAGCTCCTCGGTGCGTCTCTAATACAAATTTTTCTTGGCACAGGGTCAACAAAAAATAATCCCGTGATTCTTTTTCTATGACCCTTCTTCGTGTGTTGCTCATCAGTTCAAATATCTGTTGCACAGATGCTATTGCTGAGCCCATCTATGGTGTTTTACATTGTGTGTTAGCATCAAGCTAACAGTTAAACGTAAAGTATCTGTACTTCTACCGAGAGTACAAAGTTGAACACTTTTGCCTCTTGTGTCTCGTACCTGAGTGACTGGTCCAGAACCTCTCCAACAACGTCATAAAAGCTGAAGGGGGGAGGGGGGGGTGATAAAATGGTGGGGTACAAAGGGGTTGAGAGTTGACGTTTGGGCAGCCTGTGTCGTTTACGTGTCCGATAAGACGGTTGTGGCGTATCTTGAAAGTGTAGGAGATTAACTTGAAAGCGGACATTATCTCCACTTGGGGTCGAGTTCACGGTACAGTCAGAACCTGAGAAGATCCACACGAGCTCTTCTCACAAGGCGTGATGTAATCTCGCGTCGGGCTTCCAGAGAAAAATGACTGCATAAATCCGCCCACACACCGACGAACGAGTCCGAGTCTGCCTTGAAGCGGGAAACAAGATCGCGGCATCACTGTGTTGTTGTGTCATGTTGGGAAGAGGAGGGGGGGAAAAAAAAAAACAAAACAAAACGGTCTTGCCGCTGCCAAAGTGTCTGTTCTTGTTTTTGCTTCCCTCAGTTTACGAGCAGAGGGTTTGTGTCAAAGCATGAGGGTGCCAGTGAAGGGCAGAGTTCAGAGCCACAAATCACAAGTTGAGATAAGATGGGTTAGGAATCAATCATTTTTTTGATTCTTCTCATTTGAGTCATTCTATCGGGATTTTTATAAAGTGTAGTGAACGGCACACTTCACCAAAAAAAGTCCATGAAAAATCCTTGTACAGCGGTACATTGAGTCCACAGTGCCGCCACTTGTGACTTTTTGGAGTTTCAAACTGTCAGTCGTGCAATTTTATTTATTTATTTATTTTGCTTTGTGTTGTGTAAAACCCCCCAAAAAACACACAATGTATTCAACCAAAACCCCCAAGTCACAACATAACTTTGTTTCATGAAATTCCGCTCGCGTCATGCTAGCACAGAATGTGAAACGCTATCGACGGGCTAGCAAAAGTAGTGACGTCGCGGTCGTCGTAACGGTTTAGCAATGGACATTTGAACACAACCAATACATCAATACTCCCGATTAAGTCCATGACTCACGAGATTATCTCTTTCATGTATTTATGTGAGTATTATTCTGCCCCCCTGTGGCCAAAGAATGCACACCAGAAGGAGCAGCACAATGTCAACGGGGATTGAAGCATGAAATGATGGTGCGCAAAGTGTTTAGCACACCCTATCGAACTGTTACGAGCGTGGCACCGAAGCGAAGGCACCACCGTCCGTACCGTATAAAAGTAAACCCGAACGACGAAAAAACGAGCCCGCTTGAAAGCGTGAGGATTCCTAACTGGTTCCATATGAGCGGCGCTAAGATGACTTAAGTTGTGATTTGTAAGGCTGCGGTTCACTGCGTCGACGTGCGGCGGATCCGGCGGTGACAATCATCCAAACACTTGCACAGCTGCGTTTGCCTTCTCTCGCCGTTCAAGCGGAACCTTTGTTCAGACCACATTAAAGACCCACTCGTCGGGCCTCTCCTCCTCCTCCCCTCGCCATCGCTCATCTCTTATGTCACTCACAACTATTGTCCTCCATCTCGCGTTCTTTTTTTTTTTCTCTTTCTTTCTTTCTTACTCCAGAGAGCTGACATCACTTCCAGTAAAGGCCAGCGCTTGGAGGTTTCAACCCCGCCCCCTTTGAATCCCACACTCGAATCACAGCTGACACAGCTGGGAGGAAAGTTTCTTGGTGGGTTTCAAAACCACTTAAATTATGACCAATCACTTTTTCTTCTTCTTTTTTTTTTTTTTTTAAACATGGGAAGATCTTCATAACCCCCCCCGGCCCGCTTCCTTTTTGGGGTCAGGAGCGCAAAAACTGGGATAATCCTCCTGACTTGGATCATGTGCTGCTTCTACTTTCAGGTGTTGGGCCTCTATATTAGACACACAAACATACACACACACACACACACATATATACCGCCCCCCCCACCCCTCATCATGACACCCCCGCAGCCGCTTCCCAAACTAAGCCAAGCTAAGCCTTGAATGAGTCAGTCTGGACCGAGTTGCTTGTCTGTCTGACCTGCCGCTAATGAGAGAAGGCCCATCTGTTCCGCGAAACATCCACGCAATCCCCGTTTTGTCACATATGCAACAAAAACAACACACACCCTCCGCACACAATCTCTGTGTCGTTCATTCTGTCCGTTTTCCATTGGCAATCAAATTCGTTTCTTTGTTTTGCGGGGTCTTCTGTACTTTATTTGTTTCTTTGAATGGGTTTTGACAGTATACCTGCTGCAATGCCCTCGCATGTGGGAAAGGGGAGCCAAGGTCACGATGCACTTTTCAGGCGATTTAATCAACGCTGGGAGAACAGCAAATCGTAATGATCGCGCTCATGTAGATGCTGCTGTCAGCCACAGCTCATGCCCAGACACTCACGTGAATTCTTCAGATGAAAAAAAAATGCTATGTGGTTAAATGGTTTTCTCTTGGGAACATGACATGTAAACCGTTGGCAATTGTTTGGGAAATTAGCGCCCCCTTGTGGAGTAGCCCTCTCTAGAGGAGCTCTTCAAAGCTCTAAGTTCATAACAGCCCACTTGAGGTCCACCGTGTGTCTCAGGCACAGGGTGTCTCAGGTTCGAGCGAGGTACGAAACACACACACACACACACACACACACACACACACACACACACACACACACACACACACACCCCAGTGACTACCAGGTGGGACAAATTGGTGGGGGCCCCAGCAAAGTCACACCAAAATTGTGCATTTGAACGATGACACCAAGAGGAGAGCGCGCCAGAAAAAAAAAATTTGCAGTCTGTGCGGCTTGCGTGAGGAAATGGAAACTGGGCGAGTGACGCATACAACAACACGCGCAACAACGGTTGAATAACACGAGCCGGAATATGCCAAAAAACAAAAATGACACGTTCGAATCGGCAGTATTGTCGTGACTGCCTGGAGAGCTGCTTACTCACATTATGAATCGGCCAACCAACGGCAACACACGCACACACACACACACACACACACACACACACACACACACACACACACACACACACACACACACACGCAAGATCAGGCCTGTTGGTATTAGCCAAGACGCATGACAAGGATCAAGCTTGTATTGTGGTGTGTGTAATTTTGTGTGTGTGTGTGTGTGTGTGTGTGTGTGTGTGTGTGTGTGTGTGTGTGTGTGTGTGGGTGTTGTGTAATGTAGCCACCTGAGAGCGTTCACAGTCAAAACAAAACCAAAAACTTGCTACTAATATTGCGGGGGGGGAGATTAACAGTAAAAATAACATTCAGTTCATCAGAAATACATTCAAGAGCAGACGTTTTCAAACTAGGGTCCCTGGACACATGACGATCCACAAGTGGTAACTTGGAGGTCCGGAAAAAAAAAAAAAAAAAACATAATTGAAATTAACCACAGTGGTGCCTATGAATAAGAGTTTATTTCGTGGCAATGCCTGTAACCCAAATCACTTTTATCTCAAATCCTTTTCCCCCATTGAAATGAATGCAATCGCCATTAATCCGTTCCAGCCTTCCCACCATAAGGAAAATAGCACTCTATAATCTTATACTTCACCAAAAACAAACAGTCAAAATGACAAAACTTCATCAACCGTAAAGAAAGAATTTTTGCCACATTTGTTTTGGTTGCAATTCATCAAACATTCTGGAGCTCTCTACTCGTGTGTGGTGGAAGTGTAATACAGACACAGAGACACACACATACAAAGAAAGGTTTTACGACGAGCTTAGTCAAATGTAGTCACATTTTCTCTTCATGTGTTGCAACGCTGTACGTGTTTAAATATCCGTTGGTTAGAGTGCGATAACATCGCAAACACCGATGCTAATTGTTAGCCGGTCAATGGCGTTTTGCGCTGTTTGTTAGCAATAAGCTAAAGGGACATTATTGAAGCAAAGCTCGTGTATGTACTCGCGCATACACATGGACCACATTATGGAGAGCACACACACACACACACACACACACACACACACACACACACACACACACACACACACCCATCACCATATGTCGGCACTATGAGTTCCTGCCCCAGTTAAGGGAGCCGAGCCGCTGGGACGGATGCTCGGGTTACAATAGGCGCACTTATTGACTTTTCACACCAGCCCCATTAGTGACCTAATTAGGCCGACAGCCACAACAAGAGGGAGCTGTGCGGCGCCCCGGGCGGCCAGACAACCTGACACATGCCTGGAGGGGGGTGGGGGGGGTCGCTTGAGTGTGTAAACAGCATCTCATGGGCCTGATTGAATAAAAGGGGTAGCGGGGACCCACTTTCTGGAGGTAAATAGAAGCTCTGATAAAGTTAAAGTGCATCCCACCTCCTTCAGTTCAGATTCCAAACGACAACAGTCACTCTTTTAACCCCTTCGGCGACAGCGGTCACTACAGTGGACAGCTTATCATCTTATCAGGTGACAGGGTGCATGAGAGGGTGAATTCAGAAGAAATCTCCTTTCTCAAGAGCCCTTTGAAACGGTGATTCACGCCTTCGTCACATCTCGGCTGGATTACTGTAATGCACTTGACTTTGGAGTCAGCCAATCCTCCATGAAGTGTCTCCAGGTGGTCCAAAATGCCGCTGCTCACCTCTTGACTGGTACTCGTAAGAGGGAGCACATCACGCCTACGCTGACATCACTACACTGGCTCGCGGAACATTTTAGAGTTCTTTGGAAGATTCTATTATTGTTTTCAAATCTTTCAATGGCCTCGCCCCACCTAACCTCTCTGAGCTCCTCTGCACCTGCTCAGGTCCGTGGACTGGACACTATTAGAGGTCACGAGAACTGAGTGGAAGCTCAGAGGGGATCGAGCCTTTTCGGTTGCCGGTACCTCTTTTTGGAATGACCTTCCAATGAACGTTCGGCAAGTCTCCTTTGCTGTCCAGCTTTAAAAACTCGTCTTAGACTTCATTTTCATTCTTTGGCTTTTGACTCAGCATGAGACTTGATTTTTTTTTGTTTGACTGCTTTTGCTTTCTACTGCCTTTGTTATTAATTTACTGTGTTATTGTTTGTTGTTGTCCGAATTATTTTTGCTCCATGTGCAGCGCTTTGGATACAGCGGTTGTTGTTTTAAAGTGCTCGAGAAATACACTTGAGTTGAGCTGAAGAACTCCGATTGAGGGTCTCAGCTGTCCCAATTTGTAAGCACAGAAGAAAAAAAAAATGAATCGCATATTCAATCACAATTGCAATACGGAGAAAAGTAAAAAAAAAAAATTGCAAGCCCTTGTGAGTACTTCAGCCGGCTTTGGGAAGTCGAAACGAGCGCACACAAAGGAAAAAAAAAACTCATCGTCCCCTTTTCAGCGCAATGGTGGCACGTGATGGACAAATGTGAAACAGGATGTCAAAAAAGGAGAAGTCTTGCAGTCCGTCACAGTTCAAAGCGCGATGTCAAGTCATCAAAATGCACCGCGGGCAAAATCTGGGAAGGGAAACACTCAGACGTCACGGAGCGGCACTTCTCTCTTCATGAAACGAGAAAGAGGAAGGAAGAGTGCTCAATCAGCTTTCTTATTTGCTTTTGTTTTGTTTTTGTTTTTTTTCTCAATGGCCATCGCACCATTGGGGAAATTCTTCGTCCTTTCCGCCTACTTTCCACTGTCGACTGTCACTTCTGCATTTCTGGCGCGTGACCTTTTGAAGTGAGTGAACTCTCCAGCCGCCGGTGCTCCTATTATAATTACCCCTTAATTATCCGCGGCTTAATTGGATCGCTGCCTCGGTAAGTGAGTGCGTGTGAGAGGGAGAGGGAGCGGGAGAGAGGAGGATAAAAGCTCCATTGTCCGCTCAAAGTCGTAAAACGGAGCGCGGTGAACCGCCGGGGATGTTTGCGCTTGTGTCACAAGGAGGGTTTAAACTCGGTCATGTTCTTTGTCGGCGCATGAACTTGGAAAGAGCGATCATGCGTTTCGTACCTGGGCCTTGCAATCCAAATCACGTTTGCAAATTTTCATACGGTCAAAATAAAGCGCAAAGTGCTTGACGGCGCTAAAAACAAGCCAATAAAATAGCAAGAAAATAATACAAAAACTGTGGAGTGAAGGGCCTTGGGCAGATTAGCTTGACGTGGCAAGTTCACAGATGTTGAATTCTGATTGGACAAAAATAAAAATTAAAAAAAAATCTTACATCCAGAAGTACTGGCAGTACAGAAGCAAGAGAACCACCAGACTACTTCTACTTAAGTACAGTCTGTGAGTACTTCTCCGCATTTCGACCTGTTTTTCAGAAAACAGCATGCGAGCTCCTGTGGGAGTCTCATTACAATCAGCTGACTCTATTATTACAACAGGGGGGGGAACCTCAGCGCTCACATTATCATCTATGACCTGAACTGCTGGAACAGATAGGCACGGCGATTACGGTAATCAGGTCCGCAGGCCGTCTCTTTATTTTTTTATTTTTTTACAACCGACATGCTTTCATAACATCATCCTGCACCTCAAGTGGGGGAAATGTCAAAGTGACATGACCGGGAGAAACACTCAGGACTCGTCACAGGTCACGCAAGGGCTGCCAATTATATATTAAGGCTGCCATTAAAAGTTGCAACGTCAACATCTTAAAAAAAAAAAAATTGCAGCGCGTACATGCCCAATATTGACACACTTAAGGGTTTATTGTTACATAATTTTACTGGAGTCATCCAGCTCACTTTTTTACTTCCCTACAGCTGTTCGAACACTGTAAAAGTCACAAGGCGATGATGGATGCGGTGAGTGAGCGAGCGAGCGAATGAGTGCTCCTTCACCTCCCCCCCTGAGGGCGGCAAACAATGGCCGGAAAGAGCGGAGACGGCGGCGGGTGAGGATTCAAGAGCCAGGATGTCAGGACAAGGAAGTGGCCAAACTCTCGCCAGAAACAGCCGTGACAACCGCACATGCGCTTGACACTTGAATGCCCCAAAAAAAAAAAAGGTGTGATGATAACCGTAGTGCAAGTCTGTTTTTTTTTTTAATTAAAATTTTATTTTTCATCAAGAAAAATGTCATCATATAAAGCAGAATTCTTTTTTTTTTTTGTCATATAACAACATAAAGCACATTTTTAATGGAAAGAAAATAAGAGAAAAAGTGTTATTATGCGGAAAATATTCGAAGAACGGTTGTCACAATATTCTAGTTTTTCATAACAAAATCCTAAATAATACAAATATCACATATTTTTTTTGAAAAAATTGCTTTCGCTAAATAAATAAAAACATGAAGAAAAATGTAATATGAGAATGAATTTGATTTTTTTTTCCCCAGATAAATGGTATATGATTGCAACTAAAGATATTTTGAGGTAAAAGTACATTTTTTTCAAGATAAAAATCTGAATATTAAAAGAGCACTTTTGTAAGATAATTGTTTTTTTTTTTCGATGGAAAAATAAAACATTTTTATCAAGAAAAAAGTTTGATGACAAAGACACTTTCTTTGAGATGTTGCAATATGGTGAGCGATATATTTTAAAGAGAAAGTAACAATTTTAAATGAAAGAACAGAATATAAAGCAAATATGTGTGTTTTTTTTTTTTAGACTATTTTTATTTTATTTTATTTTTAGGCGTGGGGGGGGCCACTATGAAGGTCTTTTCAGTGCACAAATCCAAAGCATCCTTGGACTGAAAATGACAACTGAGAATGTTCCAATATGGGCAGGATGGGGGGGACCGATCGTTTTTTTCATCTCGAAGCACTTGGAATTCAAGCAAGAGATTCGGAGCTTGCGCTGTTCTTTCCTGTCACCGAAAGCACTCGAGGCAGCCTTTTGAGGCCTTGCACGTGCGCGTCAGACCGCGGTGTGACAAAACGCAGACGCCGACGTGCAGCGACAATTGGAGTCCAGCTCAGATTTAGCCCGTGACACACGTCGGGAGTCATTTCTGGGATTCTGCGGCCTTCGCGCTGTACAGTGGGAGGTCAGCGCTCCTCCGGCTTGAGTTACTCGAGGTCACCGTCCGGTTGGCGCTTTTTGGGATGCAAAGAGAGGAAGGAAACGAAGGAGGGGCATGTGACCGCCTGCTCTTGTTTTGAAAAAAGATTTCTATTCTCGAACGTTGTCTCGTTCGGCTCCCACCCCTTGCCGACGCGACTGCGGAGAAGCACGCGAGCCGAGGCCGACATCTGCCAGCTTGTTTGACAAGATTGCAAGGCCCTGCGATTCCTTCCGATGAAAACACACCAGAACGTAGCAGACGAAACAATTGTGTGTACAGCAAAAAAAAAAAAAAAGCCTCCAGTTTATCGCGAAGGGATCCGTTCCAGCGGACAAATCGAAACGAGCGAGGAAGCACACATTGTGTTCCAAAAGTCACGATATACTTGTTTTGTTTTTGTTTTTTGGGTTTTGTTTTCGGGTAACATTCTG